CCTGGCCAGACCCGTGTGCACCACTTAGTAAGGGCCCTTGTACTGTTGGAACTGCTGGAGTCGCTCCCACTTGCGGAAGCAGCAACGCCCACCCCAGAAACAATGCCCCTTCAGGTTGAGAAGGTTTTCGGTTGGAGTTGGATTTGCATAAGTGTGGTGTACTGGTATAGGTGTTCCTGCCTTTCCGCACGTGCATCTTTGACAGTGCTTGTAGCTGCCCTAGCAGTTGCGGCCCAGGACGTCTGGATAGAGTCCCAGGTTGGGTTGCGTTGCTTAGTTGGCGGGTTTTTCCTAGGCTGGGTCTTGTGGTTGAGGGGAAGTATGTGGCTACGACCCGAGGGAAACCAGGATCTGCCGGAGCTAGTACCCGTCGACGAGGAGCCTGCTCCACCGATTTCTCAGGAGGCTTCAGATTCACTGACTCAAGATGGTCAGGTTTGGAGATATGCAGATGATTTGGTCGTCATGATCCCCGCCACTCAGCCCCAACCGAATTTGATCAATGCAGTCATTGGTGATGGACATGCTGAAGCCGCGAACCTCATGTTTGAATATCTAGAGCTGGGAGTGTTTGCCAGGTTGTTAACCCTGAATGTGGCCGCACGCGCCATCTTTGTGCGAGCTTTTCAACATGGATTGAGGGAGGAGCTGGGGATTGAAGCCCCACCTTTCTTGGGCAACAACCGCAATCATTGGTCCAGGCCGCCGTCTGGAGGACTATATTCCGTTCTTGGTCCTCCTCAAGCCACCGCAGATGCCTACGTTTTATCGGCCCCCACGTTGGAAGCCGAGGATTACGTCGCCTACAACAACAATGACCCACATGATCAGCTCGCTGATGGTGAGCCTCAAACCTACGAAGACTGGGCTGAACAAACTCAGGGGCAGGATGACGACTCCAATGTGTCATCCTTTGGTGATGAGTGCCGTGCCCTTTGCTCGGCCGCGGCCTTCCTGGTCCACCGAGGGTATGTCTTCGACATATCACAATTCTCCGAGGAGATGCGCGACTATTTTTACGGCGAGTTGGGACATCGCCATCTTACAGATTTTCGTGACCCCTGATTTCTACTTCGTGTTGACAAGGTCAGCTGGAAGCTTGAACTTGCATGGATCCTCTAAGAGGCTTATGTGGGCAAGCTCATCCGGGGATCGACGTGACACGTCGAGGGGGAGAGCGAGTTCGGAAAGCATTGCTTTTGCCTCAGAAGGTGTTGGCGCAGTGTGATTTCGGACGGAATGTGGCTCAAGAAAAAGGAGCTCTCGTGACCAATACTATTTTGGCGGGGCTCCTGATTATTTTAATAGTATAATGGGCACCTATTCGAATTATTAACGCCCCTATGATAACTGGAATAAGGTTCCATCGTATAATGTGCTCACAGCTGTATAGTCCAGTACAGCGCCTGTAAGGGAGGGACAACTCTCAACTACGACTACGACTACTACTACTACTACTACTACTACTACTACTACTACTACTACCTGTTCTGCACAGCCCGGATTCCGTAGTAGGGAGGTCCGACTACTTCCTATCGGCAACCTGAGACGTAACATCCGAAGCCTTGAACCCTAAGCCCTAAACCCTAAACCCTGAACCCTAAACCACCCGAACCCGAAACCCCGAACCCTAATCCCGAACCCGAAACCCCGAACCCTAATCCCTGAATCCTAACCTAGGGTTTAGGGTTTAGGGGCTGAAGCCCCGAACCCTGAGCCCCAAGCCCTGAACCGCAGAATCCAAACCCGAAATCCCGAATCCCTACGGCCCGACACAGTGAAATTCTGCAGCCCCTCAGCCTTGAAAAGCCTACAGCCCAACTGCCGAGAGCCCAAGTCGGCTGAACACCCTAATAAAATCGATTGCAGTGGTTTTGGGTTTAGGGTTACTAAATAGAACAGGGTTTGGGGTATAGTATACTATAATCAATATAAGGCACCCCAAAACCCCATTCTAATTATTAGGGCCTCTATATCACACCTGTGCCCTGGACTCTAGCGTACTCCTTTTGTGTAGTCGAACTTATGGGTATGGTCTTATCAAACGAAGCAAGGCAACCGACAGAGAGCTCCTGCAATCTATGACCCTAGCCGGCCCTAAACCAGCCCCCAAACGCTAAAACTCAAAACCCTGAAGCCCGAAACCCATCCCCCCCTTTCCGCCCCCTCGCAAAAACAGACACAGACACAGACACAGACACAGACACACACACAGACACAGACACAGACACACACACACACACACGCGCGCACACACACACAAGAACATAGAAGGGAGACCCTCGACCCGAAACCCTAAACCCGAACAAAAACCCTAAACCCTAGACTAAACCTAACCCCGAAACCCTAAACCCCTAAACCCCTAAACCCCTAAACCCCCAAACCCTAAACCAAAACCCGAAAACCCAAACCAAAACCCTAAACCGAGGTTGGTCCGTGCAGGTCTCCGGTGCAGTTGTTGCTTCAGGCCAGGCTCTCTCAGCCTTGGAAAAGGCTGCGGGGGTCCCGTAAGGGCGCCTTTAAGGGATTCCGTTTGAGGGATCCTTTAATAGGGATCACTTTAAGGGCTCCTTTAAGGAATCCCTTCGAGGGCTCCTTTAAGGGATCACTTTAAGGGATCCTTTAAGGGATCCTTTAAGGGACCCTTGAAGGCATCTCTTAAGGGTTTTTGTTGAGGCTTGACATATGGGGTGTGGAGGGTTTGCTGTTTAAGGGCTTTCCTGTAAGTTACGGTCCTTTTTCTTGAGGTTTATAGGGTTTGGGGTTTGAGGCGTAAGTCAAGGATTGGCGTTTTTTGGTTTAGAACCAACTGGAGGGTTTCTACGGTTGACGATATAAATCCTTCATTACCCATTCAGGTAATGCAGGGTTTATATCATCAACAGTATTTGTAAGGTTTGATCCAAGGGCTGCTGCAAGCAGGTGTCGGGTTGTTCACGTCTTGAGATAGCTCTAAAGTTCAGTGCTTAACGCTTAGTGTTTTGGGCTTTAGGGTGTTTTACGGTTAGGGGTGAGTGCTAATGAACCCCAAACCCCAAACACTGTAAGCCCCAAATTGTACTAGATTTCAGTTTGTCGATTGAACCTTACAGAAACTCCCGAAAGCTCCCGAACACCCACCCACCCCCCGAAACTCGTCACAGCATCACATGCTGCCTTCGGTACCCTGGAGCCCCACAGCCTAAACTACCCTAAACTCCAACCGATATACCCCCCCAAATGCTCGCCAAAACGCGTAAACACCCGAAACTTTTCCTGACGTCCCCAGCTTCCCTGACTCGTCACGAGCAGGTTGCGCAGCGAGTGCCAAGCCAGGAAATAAGGCAGAGAGCTCGGGTGCCTTATGCCTTAAACCCGGAACCGTCTAAGTCCCGAGATTTCGCTGAGCGTAGGCTTTTACCTGAAGCAGGTGGAAAAGGATACATGAAAAAACCCTAAACCCTAAACCCTAAACCCTAAACCCTAAACCCTAAACCCTAAACCCTAAACCCTAAACCCTAAACTCTGAAGCCCTAGCCTAGCCAAGCATTCAGTCTGAGGGGTCCCAGACGTTGGAGTTTAGGGTTTAGGGTTTATAGGGTTTAGGGTTTATAGGGTTTAGGGTTTAGGGTTTAGGGTTTAGGGTTTAGGGTTTAGGGTTGGAGTTGGAAGGTCCGCGTGCTTGTAGGCGGCACAGGGCATGAGAGGCACTAGGATTTGGAATCCAAAGGCTTAGAAAGCCAATAGGAGAACTTTAAACTTGTTGGCTTTGTCTATCACGTCTATCCTAAAAAGTTTGAACTTTTTTGGGCCTGGTTCTTGAAGAAGAGAGAAGGTCTGAAAAAGTAGGGATCACTTGTCTTGCAGAAAAATCATATGCCAAGAAGCCTGCGGTATATGCATAGCAGCATGAGCTTCATTGGGGTTCCTTTGCAAGTCTCGGGGCTATCTCCGGCAGAATTCTAAGCCTAGATCTGTCGAAGTTTGCGGGTCTTGGATCTTGTATTATAAGGGAGTTTAGACTATGCTTGCTAATGGTCTTGGGGTGTACTGCTTTCATTGTAGTATATCTAACTGTATATAATATAGGAACTACAAGCGAATCCTCCTGCTAATCATTCAGACCACTATATGCCTATATTCCCCGAATTACACCTTGCATCCCAAACTCTGAAGCCCAAACCGCATGTCAGCTGGTGGCTCGTGTGTGTACAGTAGGTGCCTCACAGCTAGGAGAGCGGATGACAACACATCGGCCGAGAGGAAATGGATGAAGTATGCTCTGATCTACACCTCGGCTTTGCTCCTTTGGGCTCCTCGCGGAAAAGAGGTCTGATTGTCAGGGTGGATATTTTTGCAGCTCACTACCGTCTTCAGTTTTTGCAGAACCTAGGATGGGATTATGAAGTGCCCCAGTACGTTAGACGATCATTGTGACCCACACTCACACTCCTCCTGCCACTACCACTGCTGATGCTACCACTACGACGACGGCTACTACTACTGATGATGATAATAGACGACGGCTACTACTACTGATGATGATAATATTGATAGTAACAATAAGAATGAGCAACATACGACTGAGAGCAATTACTGCAGGCTGCCTCCTCGTCTCCGTGGTCACCAACATCCAAGTTTCACCGCGGCAGTCGCGATCAAAAGCTTGCTTCGTGGAGTTTTGGGTTTTCGGCTAAATGGGGGAGGGCTCTCATGCGCTTAAGATCCGTCTAAGTTTGTTAGCGTTCTTCTTCGTCCTTTCCGTTGCTGCTCCTCGTCTGATGAGCACGACTTGTCGACTTTCGACCCCGAAATCGGTGCTATTTGTGCGAAGGGCGCCTCAAGACATGACCCCAAACCGCTAACCTCAACTCCTCAACCCGAAATTCCTGAAACTCCACGTCCCCACACCCCGAAATTGAAAAACCCCAAAGACCTAAACCCTAAACCCTAAACCCTAAACCCCAAAGACCTAAACCTCAAAACCCTGATGCCCTTCCACCCTAACCCCGGCAACAGAGGTACAGCAATGCCGTGCCGAGCCGCATCCGCTAGACCCTTATCAGTGCGAGGCAAGACACCGGCAAGAGATGCAGGGTTTAGGGTTTAGGGTTTAGAGGTTTGTAAGAGTTTAGGGTTTAGGGTTTAGGTGCAAGGTTTAGTTTAGAAGGGTTTAGGGTTTAGAGTGCAAGGTTTAGTTTATAAGGGTTTAGGGTTTAGGGTGCAAGGTTTAGTATAGTAAAGTATTTGGCATTGAAGATGTTAGAGTCCACTTAGTGTTGAAGGCTTTAATGTAGGGGCCGATAATAATCGCCAATACCACTTTTGGGGCTCCTTATCATAATTACTTTTGCACCCAAAGCCCTATTCTAATTATTAAGGCTCTTATATTGGGTTTGTTCCGGGTTAAGGTTCTAGGGTTTATGTGGTGTCGAGGGCTCGAGGGCTTAATTGGAGGTTTGAAGCCTTTCAGATTGAAGGCTTGTTTGTGTCTGAAGGTTTTCAGGGGTAATTCTACGCAGCTGAAGGTTTTGAGATGTATTTTGGGATAGATGGTTTTAGGGTTCAGGGTTTAGGGTTGAAGGTTTTGGGCTTTTGGGTTGAAGGCTCTAGGGCTTTAGGGTTTAGGCATTAGGGTTTAGGGTTTAGGGATTAGGGTTTAGGGTTTAGGGTTGCAAGGTTCAGGGTTCAGGGTTCGGAATGATGTGCGTGTACTTTTCTTTGTCAGCTCCTGCAAGCGTTTAACTGGGTTTTGCCCACCGCTCTTACTCTGTTGCTGTGTATAATTCTTCTTGCTGGTTGTTTGACAGATTCTACCAGCCTCTTTTGCACCATTGTCCTAACCTACACCTCAGACGCTAAACCCCGAACTCCAAACCCCAAACCCTACGTACTCTAACGCCTAAAGCCTTAAACGCCATGCGGTATACCCTAAGCCCCAAAACCTTAAACCCTAAACCCTAATATAGAAGCTAAATATAGAAGCCTAAACTAATAACTACCAATAGCATTGCTGGGGCTCCTGATTATATTTGCAAGATCAAGGACCCCAACACCCTATTCTAATTATTAAGGCCCCTACATTACTTCTGCTACGAGTGTAGGAACCTGATGAACATTATAGAAGCCTGAGTAATGACCAATATCATTCCTTAGATTCCTTCTTCTTATCACGTAGTATACTATAATATGTCCCGAAATCCAGCTCTAATCCCTGAGGCCTTACAATGGGGGGATCCTTGCTCAAGTTCTGCGGCCTGGTGTATGTAGCTGCCTTAGTCAAACCCTAAACCCTAAACACTAAACCCTAAACCTTAAACCCTAAAACCAAACCCCTAGACCCTAAACCCTAAAGCCCTAAACCCTAAACCCTAAACCCTAAACCCTAAACCCTAAACCCTAAACCCAAGCTCTGGCCTAGGCCATACACTGGCGACCCAGTGATTGCGCTTTGCCCGTCGGTGCGCCTCCTCAGGGGCTCTGATTTTCGGATTCCGCTTTTGGGTTTCAGGGTTGAGGGTTTTAGGGTTTTAGGGTTGANNAAACCCCTAAACCCTAAACCCAGGAGGGCCCTCCAGGATCCCCCTTGCGCGATGGTTACTAGAGACTTGTTTTCAGGCTCCCTGCAATACTTCAAGGGTTTAGGGTTTAGGGTTTAGGGTTTAGGGTTTAGGGTTTAGGGTTTAGGGTTTAGGGTTTAGGGTTTAGGGTTTAGCGTAGGATCATCGGACTTAGCAAAGAATTGGGATTGTCAGTAAGGCAAGCTATAGCGTATAGCTAGAGATAAAAAATATTAACCAATAACATGGAATAAGCATAACCCCGACTAAGGCACTTGCATTTTTAGTTACAAAGTCAAGTCTGGCAACCGATAGGACGCCGGCTTAAGGATAAGTACGGGCGAGCGTATCCATCTCCTGCAGGGCACGGCCTACGTCAGCTTCCGCGACAAAGCTACCGCTCTGAAGGTGGACGAAACGATGCGAAATCGTGGATAGTGTGTAGGAGCCTGATTCCAGGCCCCCCCTCAATACTAGCATTCAGTCTAGGAACGCAACAAGATCGGGTGTGGAGGTTACAGAAAAACAAGGCAAAGCCACAAGCTAAACATCGCCTTAAGATAATTGATCCTGCTTTGAAATCCCACGAACCAAAATCGAGGTTGAACAAATTTCTCGGGGATGTGAGGTTTGCTGTAATCTCTCGGGATTAGTCATCAGGAATGCCATTGTGACGACCGTGACGACGACGACGATTACGACTACCACACTACTGTGACGACTATGACTTCTGCTTCTGCTGGTGCCACCTGTACCTAAACCCTAAACCCTAAACCCTAAACCCTAAACCCTAAACCTCTAAATCCTAAACCCTAACTAAACCCCTACCGCTCTGATCTTGTGCTTTTGCACTCCGTTGGGCCCTGGTAGCCTTGATGTGACAGCAGCATCAAAAATGGCCACGGCTCAAATGCAAAGCCATACTATCTCATCTCAACACCTGCGTTGGTGGCCTCCTAAGTTTGTAGAGGTTTGATGGGATCAGCAATAGCAGGTTCTTCATCGCAGCGCTGAGCCCTAAACCCTAAACCCTAAACCCCTAAACCCTACACCCTAAACCCTCGTACTACCAAACTTAATTGCTGAAGCTGTGTCTCGTAGACTTGCAACCCTCGAAGCAGCCTCAAGCTTGCGAGTTTGAAGCCGTCATTAAACTGCGTTCCTGTGCCTTTTGCAGAATTTGAGGCTGGGTGTTAGGGTTTACAAGCTCTACATATCCTGTGCCTTCTTAGGTGTTTTAGGGCTTATCTAAGCGGTCTATATAAGGCTAAGCATGCTGAAGTTTAGTGCCCTGTATAAACCCCTAAACCCCTAAACCCCCAAACCCTCAAGCCCTGAACCCTGAACCCTAAATCCCTAAAACCCTCAACCCCAAAATCCAAAACCCTGAACCCTAAACCCCAAACCCGAAACCTTAAACCCAAAACCCTAAACCCCTAAACCCTAAACCCTAAAACCCTACACCCCATTTCGTGCCCCACGGCTTTTGTAGGCTCTTCGAGCGCCGCTCAAGTTCCCGGCGTCCCTGCACGACAAGGCGTGGGGGGACGGGGAGCTCGGTTCTCGCAGTCGGGTGAGGGTTTAGGGTCTAGGGTTTCGGGGTTTAGGGTTTAGGGGTTTAGGGTTTAGGGTTTAGGGGTTTAGGGTTTAGGGTTTAGGGTTTAGGATGTACCAAACCCCCCAACAGCCCTTTAACTTATGGTCCTTAATAGTGAATATTTGGGCAAAAATAGAGGGTTGCTGGCGGTCTAGGTAGGGTTCAGGATGTAGGGATTCGGGTTTGGACTCATGATTCAGGGTTTAGGCTGCGGCTGCTAGGAGTAGTTGAGTGATGTAGGGGTCTAGCTTCTTGACTTACGTTTAGAACTTAGGGGTTAGGGTCGCTGGGGTTGAGTCCTTCGGGCGCAAGGACGTTTAGATTAACAGAGTCTATATTGTAGTGCATGGTTTAGGGGCTTCAGTGTCAATGGGCTGTCCGTGGGGTTCTTTATTGAAGGCTGTCACTAGTCTTGCTCGCAGGAGTTGCGAGCTTCCTGAACTCTGTGCTCTCTCGCTTGTGGAGCTCGATCTCACTTGCGCAGCAGAGCGGCGCACGCGCGTGAGCAAGCACTCAAACATTTTGGAAGCACTCTCTCCGAGCCCGGAGCAAGCATGCATCGTCGGTGCTTTGTTTGAGGCCTCAGATTCGTCGTAGAAAGGTGTTCAGGTAGTGAGACTCGATACGATACGAGAAAAGCCAATTGCGTGCTCGCTCCCGGTGCCAGTGCTTCCACAAGAATTTCGTGCTCCCTCACTTGCGCAACACGCTCTGGAGCATACAGGCAACCGGCACGGGCAAAAGAGCGAGCACTCAAACATTGAGCATGGTTAGTGCAAGCCTTGATTTATACGGTTGATGGACAAAATCCTGCATGACCCTATATACCTAAGCTATGGTATTTATGGTACTTTACAGTATTTGGGTCATGCAGAATTTTGTCCATCAACAGTAGGAATCCCATAGCGGAGCTGCGGGGCGATCAGGTCTTCCTGGTAGAGTTGGGATGGAGATATGGCCCTTTCTCCAAATGTCTGCTGTAACTTACTGTATCCTCTGCAGGAGGCATGTTGCATGTGAGTTGAAAGTGGTCAAACCTCGTGAAGCGGTTTCATCAAATAGGGACGACTGCTTGACCTAGACTGAACCACACCACAGACCATCGACTTAAACCCCTAAACCCTAAACCCTAAACTCTAAACCCTACCCCCCTAACATCCTGAACCGTATCTCAATCAGTAATCCCTCGAGCTTAAACGCCCTGCAGCCCGAACAAGCAAATACCAACTGTTCGTGGCCTCATGCTCTGTCATATGACCAGCACGTACTAAGGCCCCTGTGTCACATGTCGTAAGGCCCTGAAAGCTATCTTGTGCAGCTTTGGTCCCGCCTCATGCATAGGTTGTCAGCATGCGGCACCTCGACACAGCGAGGTTCTCAGACATCACGCACCACCTCATCGCTATTCGGTTTTTGGAGTCTGCAAATATAGGGTCAACAAGAAGTAGAACAGAGATTGGAAGGTCAATTGCATAGTTGTAACAGGGAGCACTCAGGGATGAGACTTGACTAAAGCTTAGCCATACTAATCAGTTTTGTTGATCCTCCTCCCAAAGCTCTATGTATTTTACAGATCTGGTGGGATGCGGGATGGAAGCTGCAAGGCTCTCGGAATATTGCATGTTTGGCGACATGTGTCCACAAGCTCGCTGGCTGCAGCCATGATCTTTGTCTGCAACTTCTGGAATCCGACATCGAGTGCAAAAAGCACTGTACATCTCCACCTTCAACTTTGTAATAATCTTAAACTCCTCAGCAAAATCGCCCTTCCTTGCCTTCCGTCGTTTCTCAGCCCGAACCTTAAACCCCAGCCTAGATCCTAAACCCTAAAACCTAGACCCCAAACCCTGGATCCCAAACCAAACCCAAAACCGTAAAACGCTCAAAACCCTGGATCCTAAACCCTAAACCCTTTAAAAGAAAGTCCTGAACCCGACAAGATTAACTCTTCTGCTGCAGACCCAAAGCTTGTCTGCAGCCACTGAGGACAAGACCAACGATCCGCAGTATCTCGTGAAGGCCCTGCTGGCTTTGCGCCTCAGGTTAGGGTTTAGGATTTATGTACGGCTTAGGATTTAGGATTTAAAGGTTTGGGATTTAGGGTTTAGGGTTTAGGATCCAGGTATTTAAAACCCTAAGCCCTAAACCCTAAGCCGTTTAGGGTTTAGGGTCTAGGGTTCTGGCTTTGGGTGGACATTTTGGAGGGCTGTGGGCTCGTGGTTTAAGGGTTTAGGCTTTAGGGTTTTGGGCTTCGTGAGGTTTGGGGTTTAGAGTCTGGGGTTTGTTGTTTAGGGTTTAGGGAGGAAGGTGGTGTCCATGGCCACTTCTTGGTGCCGGGTTTAGATACTAAGGCTCAGATTCTGTGGGAGACAGGGCCACTGCACAAAAAAAAATCCAGAAGTCAACCCGAAAGCCTAAACCCAGGAGACAACCCTGGACCTGTAAATGGGTAGTTCTCTAAAGCAGGGTCCCTTTTTAGGTCCCCAATATAGTACGGCACCCTTTTAAAAAGGACCCCCAAAAGGGTCGCCATTTTCGAAAGCTACCCAAATCGTGAACCCACACACCCCGAACAGTTCAAGCCCCAGGGCTGACTTAGATGAAAGCCGAGCTCACGGCAAGTCTCCTTCCCTTTTTGGACCTGCATATGTAGAATAGTAGGATAGATGTTTTGGGGCAACGTAGATGTATGTGCATGTGTATGTCTTTGTCTATGTATGGGTATGTGTATGTATATGCGTATGTATGTACATGTACGTATTCGCATGCATGTATGTGTATATGTGTATATGTAACATGCAACAGTCAATGTGACATGTATGCATATGTATGTATGTATGTATGTATGTATGTATGCATGTATGCATGTCTGTATGTATGTATGTATGTATGTATGTATGTATGCATGTATCTATGCATGTATGCATGTATGCATGTATGCATGTATGCATGTATGTATGTATGTATGTATGTATGTATGTATGTATGCATGTATGTATTTATGCATGCATGCTTGCATGTATTCATGTACTCATGCATGCAAGCATATGTGCATGCATGTGTGCGTGGATGCATGTATGTATGCATTTAGGTAGGTAGCTCGATCTGTGTGTGTATGTATAGTAGATAGATGGATGGATGGATGGATAGACAGACAGAAAGGGCGAGAGAGAGAGAGAGAGAGAGAAAGAGAAAGAGAGAGGGAGAGAGAGAGAGAGAGAGAGAGACAGAGAGAGAGAGACCGAGAGGGAGAGAGATAGAGAGAGAGAGGGAGAGAGGGAGAGAGAGAGAGAGAGAGGGAGAGAGAGCATGATTCTTTCGGGCTTAGGGGCGATAAGCAGATAGAATTGGCCTCTTCCGACCTGTCGATTATGGCAGCCAGATCCCGGACCTGCGGAAGAATTAGCGGCGCAGGTCTTTCGGCGTACGAAACAAAGAAGAGGCGAGTTCTGTTGAGGGTCTTTTGGTTCATCAGGGGGCTGCTCTGACTTCTGCCCCTGGCGCTGAAGGTCATGATGAGACTGAACGACGCTGGCAGGGCTGTAGGGAACTGTAGGGTTTAGGGTTCTGCGGTTATAGGCGAGGCCCTCTCTGCACAGAAGCCATTCCCAACAATGCTTCAGCCTTAATTAGCAAGAATGATCAGACTCAGTTTATAGACTCGCAATAGCAATGCTACTACTTGTAGTACTACCCATGATAGCAACAGTAGAACTACCAGAAATATGTTCCTCAGGCGAAGTTCTTCAACCGGCAGTTGCTCTACATCGCGCGGCAGCTCCATGTCCAGGTGTCTCCCGTTCTTTCTAAACGTCAAAGCTTCAACTTGCAAGCTGAGGCCCTATCTAATATAGGGGCCTAAATCATTACCTATATATATATATATTTATTTATTTATTTGTTTATGTATTTATTCATTTATACATACATATATATATATATATGTATTTTTTTTTGGCGGGGGGGGGTCCTTATTATAAGTATAGTATACTGGGCCCCCAAACCCCATTCTAATTCTTGAGGCCCCTGGAAAATTCGGCTGAGCGAAGCAGTAAGGCCCCAGAGAATCTGAAGGAGTCGAAGAGTCTGCATCATGGAGGCTGCTTTAGGGGTTTAGGGTTTAGGGTTTAGGGGTTTATGGTTTAGGGTTTAGGGTTTAGGGTTTAGGGTTTAGGGTTTAGGGTTTAGGGTTTAGGGGGTTATGGTTCAGGTCTGTGCTGTAAAGCTGGAGGTTCTAGCAAGGAGTTCGGGCTTGTCCTACGGTTGATGATATAAAGTCTGCATCACCTTACGGACCTTAAGCTATGGGGATTATGGTATATTCCTTATTATGGGTCCCTAAACCCTAAACCCTAAACCCTAAACTATGGGAACTAATACAGGATGTATATCATCAACCGTATGATGCTTGAGGCTGCAGGGCGATGGGCCGTTGAAGGTCGGCTTGTAAAGTGTTGGGATCCAGCGAGGAAGAGGGTTTAGGGTTTAGGGGTTAGGGTTTAGGGTTTAGGGTTTACAGTTTATGGTTTAGGGTTTAGGGTTTAGGGCATTTAGTTCGTTTGTTTTTGGCTTCTTTGGGGCGAGGGTCTGGCGGTAAGGGGTTGCACAGTAAAGCCCTCCTAGCATGCGCGCTTAGGCGATGATTTCGGTGTGTTCGCAGCTGCACCCCGCCGAAGAGTCCCGGATGCTTAGCCCGACACAAGGAGTAGAAGACGAAGCTCCCCGCACTCACATGGCCAAAACCGGGCATCACCCTGCGACTGGAGTGTTCTGCATTGCTTGGAACTCCTTTTCCCGGAAGCACTCATGAAACGTGAGCTCCACAATAGAACCCATCATCCAAAGCTGACTGTTGCCAGCTTCTGGCAGATCCGCATCTGCGAGGCCTCCTTGGGGTGTGGGAGATTAGAGGGGGGGCCCCGCGGGGGGTTGGGGGTTGAGTGACGTGCGGGAGCTTTCCGGGCTTAGTTCACTTTAAGAAGAAGAGATCCCAGGTTCCAAGATTTCTGCAAAGCTTCCCTACTGAAGGAGTCTCGGGAGTATCCATACCCATAGGCCCTAAAGTAGTTCCTTTTGGGGGTTCAAAAATAGAATCCCATAGGGTAAGCCCAAAAAGGAACTACTATGGGGCCTTTGGGTACATGTCCTAAACAAGCCCAAAGGCCCTAAACCCTAAACCCTTCAGGCCGCCGCACGAGGGTGGTGGGGGAGGGAATCGGCGAACTCTTGTCCGACGTGTCCGTAATAAATCCTAAGCCCTGGCTCTGGGCGGCGCAAAGAACAGTTCCGGCGTGCACATAAGAGGAGCGCCCGCAACGAAGCCTTACTCGCCAGAGGTCTGGCGGACGTATCACATGGCATTGGTCGACGTGCAGAAGCAGATCTTATATAACTTAGACAGCCAATAGGAGAACTTTAAATTGTTTGGCCTTATCTATCAGGTCTATCCTAAAAAGTTTGAACCTTTGTGGGCCTGGTTCTTGAAGAAGAGAGATAAAGAAACCCATAAACTCCTAAACCCCAAACCCTAAACCCTAAACCTCGGCCCTTACAGACAAAACTCCCCTTAGACCCTGAACCCTGACCCTCAAAGAACAAGCCCTTAACCCTAAACCCAAAAACCCTAGACTCTTGAACCCCTGAACCCCTAAAGGCTAAACCCCTAAAACCCCTAAAACCCCAAAACCCCAAAACCCTAAACCCTAAACCCTAAACCCTAAACCCTAAACCCTAAACCCCTAAACCCCAAAACCCGAAAGTCCGAAACACAGGCCTCGGCAAGCCACTGGCGAGCGTGGGTTCCGGTATTTGGGAGCTTGAGGCCGGTTTTGGGGTTTAGGGTTTAGGGTTTAGGGTTTAGGGTTTAGGGTTTAGGGTTTAGGGTTTAGGGTTTAGGGTTTAGGGTTTAGGGCTATAAATTACCCGAAACCCTAAACCCTAGAAGCCCTAAGCCTTTCATTGAGGGTATAGGGTCTAAGTCCCTAAACCCTAAACCCTAAGTTGTTCAGGGATTTAGGATTTTGGGTTGTAGGGTCTAGGGTTCAGCGTGTCGGGTTTGGTTTCTCGGGATTCGGCTTAGTTGCTTTCGTGGGGGGGATGGCTAGCTGGGACCTACTGCTTAACATAGGGGCCTAAATAATTACCAACATTATTTTGGTAGTTCCTTATTATAAATATAGTATAAGGGGCCCCAAACCTTAAGTATTTAAGCTGCAGGGTTTATGCGTTTAGGGTCGACATTTCCACCAAGAGTTGAAGAGATGTTTCAGCCAACTTTATCAGCAATCTTTGCAAGCGTGTGTTTTCCCCGACAGGTGTGACAGTCTCCGGAATGTTCATTAAAAGCTTTCAGCTGGTCATAGAAGACTTGAGGAAGCTGAAGCCCGAAGCGTTTTTCAGATGCAACCCAGCATCACTAAACCAAGTTACCTTGACCCTAAACCCTAAAACATAAACCCCACCCCACTCACTTGTGTTGTCCTTTGGGTCAACAGAAGCTGGTAAAGCTTCCCGAGTCTTACCATGTGCAACACCTTAAATTGCTTGTCATGCGAGCACGTTCGAAGCTCTAAACCCTAAAAAAACCCAAGCCGAGTAGCACGAGTAGCCCCTAAACCCCAAACCCAAGGGAGTAAACCCTACAATATCGAATCTCTGCATCTCCATCCTTACGAAGCCCTTGAAAAAAAGCCAGTCCAGTCCTCTTCATGAGACTCCGGGAAACCAAAAGACAGCCTGATACAAGCAGCATACAAGATACCCTTGTAGCACCGTTATTCTGAGAGCCCCTAAGCAATAAGACAGAAGAGCCATTATTAAGCCGAAACCATCCGAAACCTATTACGAGCCTAAACAACCCCTAAACCCTGAACCCTAAGGCCTAAACTGTAAACCCTAAACCCTAAACAGCCCCTAAACCCTAAACCACCCCTAAACCCTATACCCTAAACTCTAAACCCTAAACCCTATACCCTAAACTCTAAACCCTAAACCCCATACCCTAAACTCTAAACCCTAAACCCTATACCCTAAACCCTAAACCCTATACCCTAAACTCTACAACCCTCAACAAAGCCCCCCTTTTTTCGGCGAGGCCCTGGAGCTATCCGAGCCTGTTTTCGCCGACCCGGCTGGGGCGGAAGCGGCGGCATTCCGTGCCCCCCAGGGCCGAGGCACCTGGGGGGTTGGGTTTAGGGTTTAGGGTTTAGGGTTTAGGGTTTAGGGTTTAGGGTTTAGGATACGAATACCAATATTGATACGAATGTTCATGCCAATATTTGGTATGACTCTTAATACCATGATGCTCCGATTCTTCTCCGATTCTTTAGAATTTTAATTGGTTTAGACGAGAACTGGTGTTGTTGATGTGGTTTTGCAGGTCGTGTTTATCTTTTACGTGTTTTTATGTGTTTTAGCGGATTTGCTGTAGGGCTTTAGGTTGTGTGTTTCAGGGTCTTGCAGGGTTCTATGCGATTAGTTTGGTTTGGAACTCTGTGTTGCTACTAAGGGCGTTTTGGGGCTTCAGGGCTTCTAAATAGTCTGGGATTCAGGGAATACCTATAGTCTTCCATGTAGTTCCTTTTTTTGGTTTAGCCAAATTTATATTAAGGATCCCAAAAGGTAACCCCAAAAAGGAACTAGAATGGAGACTATCGGTACAAGGCTCCGGGGCACCTTGCCTCTTCTCGATGTTGTTTATGTTACGACTTGGGGTTCGGGGGGATTTAGGGTTTAGGGTTTAGGAAGCTCCATGAGCGGAAGCTCCAAACTCGCCGCCCCGACGCTACAGTACCATAACTTAGCCTACGTCTTGTAGGTTTTTTTGTGAGCCCGAATACAGAATCTATCGGGACCCTACAAAAAAGATAGGTTGGAAGGCCTATAATCATAAACGGTCAGGTAAGCCCAGGGCACTCCCGGCCCCGACCACGCACATGTAGGAATGTCCTGTTATTTTCCACCCAGGGCTCCAAATCATCTAAGTTGTGAGAATGATTTATCCCATGGCACGCACGCACGCACACACTGTCTTTTCTGTCTCGAGCCGCTCTACCTATAGTCTCCAATGTAGTTCCCTTTTTGGGTTTAACCAAACTTATATTGATTAAGGATCCTAAAAGGTAACCCCAAAAAGGAACTACAATGGAGACTACATCTTAACCTACCAGAACCTACTTTTTTGTAGGGTCCCTATAAATTCCATATTATTCTAATGAGAACCTACAAAAAAGTAGGTTTTGGTAGGTTCCTAAACCCTATACCCTAAACCCGAAACCCCTAAACCCTAAACCCTAAACCCTAATGAAGTGAAGCTTTGCCGAGCTGCCAGGCGGCGTGCCAATGCCCCAGAAAACCTTCGGAGTTCTGACGCGGCAAGTGCCTGCCGAGGTGGGTTCGAGTTCCGTTTAGGGTTTAGGGTTTAGGGTTCCGGGTTAGAGTAGGGGCCTCAGTAGTTCGAATTTGCTTGGTTCCGTCTTATGATTTCCTTGTTATAGAGCTCTTTTCAACAGAAAGGGTTTGGGGGTTCGAGTTCCGGGTTAGTGTAGGGGCCTTAGTAATTAGAATAGGGTTTGGGGGGTTATATTATACTAGACTTGCAATAAGAAACCCCCAAAACCCTACTCTAATTATGAAGGCCCCTACATTCGAGTGTGTTTTTTAATTCTTGAAGATTCAATGTCAGGCTTTCGGATTTGGGGCCACGATGCCCTAAACCCTAAACCCTGATACCCTACGCGTTTGTTCGGGGCTTGTCTTCGTAGCATCCGCCTCATGTCGGCCCGCATCGAAAATCTAAGGCCCCAGGGGGCCTCAGGCCCTGTAAACCCCTGTTAAATGCGCCATCCTACCTAGACCTTTTCGGCCACCTCTTGTTCTGACAAATACGTCCCTAAGAAACCTACCGGTTTTTTGTTTCTAGGGACTTATACAAGGGAATCATAACAAGGAGGCCTGAGCAGGTATATAGGTCTTTGAGGGTTTAGGAAAGCCTTTGCCTCTGATCTGTTCCAGGAGGCCGTCCTGAAGCGCTTTGGGAGTTGGGCCGTCCGGAGCCAAGGTTTAGACTAAACCCTAAACCCTACACCCTAAATCCTAGTTCAGGGGTTTAGGGGTTTCGGGGTAAAAAAGGCGGGAGTTGTGCTTCGGTTGCTTCAAAACCCTGAACCCGAACCCCCGCTTACTATACATCGAGGCCTAAATACCTAGCACATTTTGATCCCACTGATAGTTCTCGCGCACACACATATATACATATACATCTTTGTTTTTGTTTGTACATTTTTACACGGTACAAATGATGTGTTTAGGGCGTAGGGTTTTACGGTTCCTGTACACAGTTTCTTTCCAATGGGCGCAGGCCTGGAAATGTGCTTTGAATGGGAACATGAAACCCGAACAGGGTAGTTGCGGTCTCGTCAAGAGTTCTATGGTTTCAAGAGTTGTTGTGACAATAAGTCCCCAACGAAGTTATTGAGCATAACATACTTTCTCTGGGTCGGCAGAATTAAATTAAGTTTCATCCTGGAAGGCCAGGTGCCCACAACTATCCCGTATTCTTTCACCGTCTAACATACAAGTGTGTGAATCTCTAAATAGTAGATTACTATACAAGTAGTTCTGCAGAAACCTGCGGCACCCAAACCCCAAAACCGTAGACGGGTTTAAGTTTTTCAGGATTTAGGATTCAGGGTTTTGGTTTAGTGGTTCAGGGTTCTTTAAATTTACAGAATTTGGGGGGTCTTGGGGTTCCAAATCCCTCCATCCCAAACCCCTGCGCAAGCCTTATATTACAAGGGAACTCAAAGAACCTTACGCAGCCCAACGAGCCCTTCCAGGACGCTCCTAGAAACCTGAGGGGCGCTTGCAGAACCCTTTAAAAGGAGCCCTAAAATCCTAATTAAACCCAAAACCCTAAACACTAAACCCTTAACCCCAAAAGGAGTCCCCAAAGGAACCCTTTATAACAGGACCAAACCCTAAACCCTAAACCCTATAAGGAGTCCCCAAAGGAACCCGGATAGGAACTCTTATGATAGGACGGCTCTAGGGCTCCTCGTAATCCTAAACCCAGAACCCTAAACCCTCAACCCTAAACCCGTAAACCCTAAACCCTAAACCCTAAACCCTAAACCCTAAACCCCAAACCCCCCAAAGGAACCCGGATAGGAACCCTTTATAACAGCACGGCGCTAGGCCCCTCGGCTCGCGGCCTCTGAGGAATTTCTGGGGCAGCCGCCCCTGGACGAGCTCTTCGCGCTCGAGCTGCGGAGGTTTGTCAAGAGGGTCCGAGGTTACAGGCTGTCGGGTTTAGGGTTTTGGGTCAAGAGGGTCCGAGGTTACAGGGCTTTCGGGTTTAGGGTTTAGGGTTTAGGGTTTAGGGTCTAGGGTTAGGGTTTGCGGTTCAGGGTTTAGGGTCTAGGGTTAGGGTTTAGGGTGTAGGATTTAGGGTTTAGGGTTTAGGGTTTGGGGTTTAGGGGGTCCGAGGTTACAGGGCTTTCGGGTGCGAAGGGTCTGGGGATCTGAGCCTTGTCGGGTTATATGAGGGTTAAGGCTTGAGGGTTTAGGGGCAGGACTGGCCGAGGTTATCGGATCTACATAGGCCTTTGGGGGATGTTACCCGCCCTTGCTGACAGAGGATTCCATGTAGAATTTTGATTCAGAAGGGGCAAATTTGGGTATCAGACTCTCGGGATCAGCACCTCCAGGTACCTTTGATAAGACGTCTCGCGTAGCAGGTACCTCCTTGTCTTGTGTGTACCCTAAACCCTAAACCCCAAACCCTATGGCCTAAGCCCTAAACCCTAAACCTTGATTTGAAGAGGGGGGGGGGGTGGCTCAGGTTTCGGAGGGTGCCAAGCCGCCGTTGACTCGACCTCATACAGCCTAATATATAGGGGCTTAAACAATTACCAACACTATCTTGGAGGTTCCTTATTATTCTTATAGTATAATATACCCCAAAAGCCTATTCTAATTCTTAAGGCGCCTACAGTAGTCCACTAAACCTTAAAACCCTAAAGCCCTAAACCCTAAACCCAAACAAAATCTTCTACGAACTCTTCAGGCCCCTACAGCAGTCCAGTTTCAGACTTCGGGAGGGTTCGAGGGGGAGCTCAGTGGGCTTGCTCGTAGATATTAGGGCTTTAGGGTTTAGGGGTTTAGGACTGTAGGTGTTTAGGGGTTTAGGGTTTAGGGCTTAGGGTCAGTTGGGACCTTGGGGCGTTTACGGTTTCGAGTTTAGGGTTCAGGGTTTAGGGTTAGAGTTGAGGGTTTAGGGTTTAGGGCTTCGAGTTTTGAGTCCTAGAGACTCTTTTGAGACCTTGGGGGGGTGGCATGGTGTCGTGCGAGGTCCATGGGTTCACCTGCTCCCGGACCAGATGGCGAATCTGGCGCCTTGGCATGGAGATTCCCTACACACTACTGACATGATTCATCCTACCCACACCCACTGTTTTGTAGGGCCCCATAAATGCTATATTAGACTACAAAGATCAGGCTGTGGTAGCTTCGGGTAAATGTCAAGCCCCTGTCCAGGTTTGTTGGGAGGCTTGTGCCAGCGGATTGAAAATCGGGGATCCAAGACAACAAGCAGCCAAAGCCGTGAAGCCTAATCCCATGGAGATTCGTGGCAGCGGGGCGCGTGTTTGGCGTTGACAATACGGAACCCGAACTCCAAGCCCGGGAACAAACTTGTCACACTCCAGGAACGGATGCAGCAGCGGACGAAGAGGGATCAGAGGCATCAGTTCTTCGTTACAGACGCTGTGGAGTGGAGTTGCTGCAACTAATGACAATGAAGGGACTGGTTGGCTTGTCATAGGTCCGCCCCAAATCCCATGTCTGACAATTGAAGCCCTGTATTCGATGATTCAGATGCTGCAGTGCAGCTACAGAAGCACTTGGTGGGTGCGAGAGGTTGTAGTCTTTGAGGCTTTCAGCTGTCTCCTACGCACCATAGGGGGATGCGCGGGTGCAGTCATCTCCTTGTGTGTGAACTCAGACTCTCGCAGCAGCTTTGGAATGGAGCTATGGTCCTTAGAATTGGCTTTCTTGTACTGTACAGTGCTGGGAACGTTTGCGAGAAGTTATGCGCTTGTTAGGCACCTCAATGGGAAATTTGTTTCGATGGATGCGGAAACCTTCGACGGTGTGCAAGTGCTAGGTTCATGCGGGTTCTTAGACTTTTGGCCGTTGAGCCGTTGGCTTCGTCAGTCGATGTCAATACCAGGCCAACGATCGAAGTTGGAATCGGGAGCATCGTTCGCAATTGAGGCGAGCCTAGTCGTAGGCTTTGAACGAAATCTTAGTAAGTTCCCGCAAGCCTCTACGCACAAAGAGGCCGACCTCTCCATAACAATTGCTCACCATTGCTTGTGGCCAGGTTGTGGTAGTCCGACCGCGACTGGTACCCTGGCTTCTTGCACCACAGGGACCTCCCAACTTTGCTGTTTAACGGAGCTGCATTTGCGGTTTCGGGTTTTGTTAGGGTCTAGTGGTTTGGGGCTTAATAGGCTTTGAAGTCAGAGTGATGATGTGGTAGACGGCCAACAACGAACCACATGTGCAGCCCTTTGGTTTTTGAAACCCTCAAAACAGGTCCCCGACGTCAAGAAGCCCCAACCTATTGGCCCAGACAACTCTGCACCTTCATCATGTTCCAAACCCTAAGCCCTCGATCTGAGTGCTAAATTCAACCAAGCATCTGTAGAGCCCGAAATTTTAAACCCCAGCCAGCTATCGAAATCCGACATTCTTCCGATGTATGTTAATTTAAGCCTTACAGACTTTTCAGGTTTTGACTCGACATCTTGAATCCAACTGTGTAGTGCCTCGGGGCAGCGGAACTTTGGCGCCCGAACATCGCTGCCGTAAAGCCCTACAGCCATGGGTAGTTGTCAAAATTATGGTCCCTTTTGGGGTACCCTAAATAATGGGTCCGTATTATAGTAAGGACCCAAAAAGGGACCATAATTTTGACAACCACCCAATGTAAACTCTGAAACTGCGGCGGATTCCTGTCCGGCTCAAGCCACTGGTCGCCTCTTATCCGGAGATTAAATTCGAGTGGCAAGCGATGTCAGTCAAGGCATTCTGAAAGTTTTTTTCAACGCCGTACGCACTAAATCTTACGGATCCTCATATCCTAAATGCCCAGACCCTGTGCCCCCAAACGCACATAAGGCCTTAATGCTTGACAGGGGTATGCCTTACAAGTCCCTGTGTTGGTACGTATAGTATTCAATCCACCAGAGCCTTAGCTATAATATAGAGGCCTGAATAATTACCTATACGATTTTGGGGCCTCAGATTATACCCCCCCAAAAACCACCCTAAACCCAAAACCCTAAAACCCTAAAAACCCTAAACCCACCACCCTAAACCCTAAACCCCCTAACACCCTAGTCTAACTATTAAGGCCCCTACATAATTAGCCTTCTTGGCTCGGCCCTCAGTCACTTTTGCCTGAGCACGTGGTCTTCCAGCATTACAACACCCCAAACCCTAAAGGGCTTAGGGCTTAGGTTCTATAAGGCTTGGGGTTTAGGGTCTGTAGGGTTTAGGGTTTAGGGTCTATAGGGTTTAGGGCCTAGGGTCTTTAGTGTTTAGGGTTAAGGTCTATAAAAAGCCCTAAACCCTAAACCCTACACCCTACACCCTAAACCCTAAACCCTACTATAGGGTTTAGCGCTTTGGGTTTAGGGCTTTTGACCCTAAACCCTCGACGCCTAAACCGCGGATGCCATGGCCAAGCGCAAGCTGAGTCCACCACAGCAGGTGGAGGCTTTATCGGACTCAGGAGTTTAGGGTTTAGGGGTTTAGGGTTTAGGGGTTTAGGGTTTAGGGATTTAGGGTTGAGGGCTTTGGGTTTAGGGGTTTGGGGCTTAAAGTTT